TATTTGGTGTAATGAAATGTGTTTATGCGGTTTAAAGGTAAAAAAACACATTATTTTCCACATACTGTACATTATTGTTTCTCCTCTATGCCCCGCCTTTTTGAAACGCGTCGATTTTTACAAAACTCATCGGTCTGAAAAAGCGAGGTGTGTTGTGTTTGGCCGAATGCCTTAGTGAGCATAAGAGACATCTTTCAAAAACATTATTAAAAAATAATTTACTCTCATGTCTTAATTTTACTTATTTTTCTTCTTTCCTTCTATGCCTTCGCCCCATCAGCCAGCAGGCAGCCCTCTGAATTAGAGGGGACCCATGCAACACACAACACAATGAATGTAAATCACAGGTACATGCTAAATCTGCTTGACTGGTTAGTTACATAACCTTCCAGAAGTAATCACATTGTCATCGCTGTGTGTTGACAACTTTTTGGAAAAACTACAACACAAAACAGAATGATTTTGAAAGTTGTAGAAGCGTGTAGAGTCTTTGGCTCCGTGGATCACAGGTCGCCTCATTTGTTGTGTATTTGCGACCGCAGAGTGAAATGAAGACTCATGGGAAATCATTTGGTGGCCACAGAGAGGAAAACTCATTTTAGTTACTTAAGAGTTCAAGTTAAAGCATTCTGGCTTAAAGACCGCAGACCTTTCCTCCTGAAGAAGAATTCCTGTTATTGTGGTATAGCAAAACACGTCAGCTCAGTGGCTGCTGAAATAGGTTATGACAGCTTTGTGTTTTAATCTCAGAGAAAAGCAGAGGAAGTCTAGTTAACCCCTGTGCCCTAGAAATGGGCTCGAATTGAGCTTTAAAACCAAATACACCCACCCAACAAATTCTGAAGCAAAACATTCGGCCACATATATGCAGCCGCTGTAGGCCTCAAAAGCGAGTGTGATCATGTGATCTCGGCATATGTTTCCATTCTGTTCAAAAGTCCTGGAAGTTTCCGTTTGACGGGAGACAGCAGTGCAGTATTAGGGCAGAGTGCATCTGGCTGGCTTGCAGCCAAGTCTAAGAGAGCCCAGGACGCTCAAGCAGGGCCGGATACCATGCAGACAGACCTGGTTAGTACAGAGGTTGCACCCCTGATTACCATGTATAACCGCTTGCACGTCCACCAGGTTAGGAGGTCCTGTCAAAGCTGGTTTTGTATGAAATACACCTCACTTTTTCAGAGTTGTTCCTTGTGAATGGGGTCACTTCCCTTTTACTGTACTATGGGTTGAGGGTCCTGTATTCACACTGCTGTGATAGATACCGTCCCATCTGTTAGACTACTTTGTATTCTGAAATACTGAATGTGAGAGTTACAATGGATCCAAAAGGCATTTGGAGACTTTTTATGTAGCCGCAATTAAAAATGCATGAATGTCTTTGCATTAGATAACAAATGCTTCTGGTGCTTTTCTCAGAACAAATGTAACTTCAGCCATTTCTTTGCAATTACGGTTAACCAACTGATGTCAATGTGATTTTTGTGTGTGTGTGTGTGTGTGTGTGTGTGGGGGGGGGGGTTATAACAAATAAATATTGTTATTTGTTTGTTTGTTACAACCTAACAAATTGGTTTTGTTAAATTTGGTATGAAAACTATTTTCTAAATGCATGTTATTAATCTCATTGTGAACGATTTATCCATGCATATGTTTCATTTTTACATTTTCTTTTGCCCTCATAATTTTTTTATCAAAATATCATAATCTTCTGGTGAAATTAGAGTTCTCCATTCATTTATTCCAATTAAACTCTTTCCCAGATCAAGAAAGTTTAATAGAGTCTAATAATTTAAATGATGTTCAAATGCCACTTTGACTAAGATGATCGGTATGTGGTCTCTGGTCTCAAAAAACACACACGGAGTAGATTAAAAACATTACATAAGTGCAAAACCTTCCATTAATCCATAAGTGTCTAGAAGAGAAATTAAAGGGGAACAAGTTCAAGGCTCTGTTGTAATAAAAAACATATTTCCTTCTCCATTGTTCTGGCTAAAATCATATGAGACTCTCAGTATAAATGGTGGAACTAACTTAATTATGAAAATCCTCCTGCTGCATTGAAAATGGGCTGCAGTAACAGGGGAATAAAAGCTGTTATCCAGACGTTCATGTGTGTGTGTGTGTGTGTGTGTGTGTGAGAGAGAGATACCTACCATACCCACCGGGCTTCTCTACAACTGTCTGCTGTAATATAAATCCCTATTGCACTTTGTATTTATCCATTTTTAATGAAGTGTCTCAGCTGTGTGTGTGTGTGTGTGTGTGTCTGAATGAGATGAGAAAGGGGAAGAAGGGAGAGGGATGGAAGGAAAGATGAGGACAGGCCTGTTTACAGGATAGAGAGGCCCTTTCTGAGAGGATCAGAAGTTGTGTGATGACATCACTCTCACGGGTGACATAAGTCAGGTGCTTTTGTGATTATAAAATTAGAGACCTCTCTGTTATCAGTGTTCTAAAAAACCCACACTCTCAAAAAAAAAAAAACTGGGATGATTCCTCTGTTCCTTATTTACCCCTAAAGGGTGCATATTGGTATATCAATGGTACATTTTAGTACATTTTGAAAGTGTTCCGCCCCAGTGACTTTTCTGGAAGTACATGAAATGGCTTTTCTGTCATGTGTGGATGTATTTCCTTTTTCTGTATTGAATCATAAAGTTGAGAAATATTTTACATTTCTTAAAAAAAATCATGAATTGCTAGTTTATATTGTCAATCGGTTGCAGGTTTTATTAGTGGTAGGGACACTGATATTCAAGAGAGCATCTGATTGGACAAAAATCTGTGTAGTGGCAGAATAGTCATCAATATTTTTGGTCTGTTTTAGTGAAAGAGAAAAACTGTAAATTGTAAACTTATTTAAGGCTGGAATAGACTACACGACTTTTACCCCAGATTATAGTCTGGAGAAGCTGATGCTATTTGCCGAACATCAGAGCCATTCTGCAGATTCAGGGCAGTCTATGGGCAAAGACTCTGATTTTTTAGCTTCAGACTATGATTTCAGTTAGTGAGAGGATATCAAACGTTTGATATTTTGAGCCGATTTTAGACCACATAATGTTTTCATTTGTCATGCGCCTCCTAGCAATGAGGCGCATGTTTCTGTATGAGTTTGTTGTGTTCGGAATGACTTGAAAGTCTGGTAGTCTGTGGTCCTCAGTCATTTAGTGTATGATGCCCAGCTTTCTGGCAACCATTTACAAAGTCGGCGAGTGGATTACAATCTGTTAATATTTTAAAAGTCTTACATTATATTCCAGCCTTTAGGCATACATTAGCATTAGATTATTCAAAAAGCCAGTTCTCATTTCATGGGTTTTTAAAATAATCACAGAAGCTTCTCCTTTATTGTCCTTTCCTTTGCTTTCCATTTTTGTTACATTTAGGGAGGAAAGGCCTGTGTAGGTGAAGAGAGGCTTTGAGTGGTGATGGGAATGCGGTGGGATTCACAAAGACCCTGATTGTAACAATGACACAGGCTCACATGAGCCTGCTAAACACAATCCGCAGGGATGACAACATGAAAGCACCAGTTGAACCATTTCATAAGCTGTTTATTTATCTAGTGAATGCATCTCTTTAATTTCTGCACAGCAGCATACAGGGCAATTGTGACAAAATATAAATAAGAGAATTCAACAGTGTGTCTTTTTTTACTCTTTTAATTTAATTACAAACCTCAGTTAAAAGTGGCAAATTGGCTGATGTCTTCAACATTTGATTCTCAGTCTCTCTCTCACGAACCAAGAATGTCACATTGAACAACAATTTAAAATGCATGAAATTATCATCATTATTATTAATATTATGTACAGCTGTCACCTATAAGCAAACAATGCTTAGAGCTTATTGGGATTTCACTTTCATCTGTAGAATGCACTGAAAAAAAAAATACAATTATGTTATACAAAGATCAAAAATACTATTATAAACCCTTGTTATAAATGGTACACTATATTAATAAACTGCTGTTGACATTTTACATGTAAGTACAAAATATTGGTGAGGTTCAGAAGAATAGCCTGCGGTCACACTTTACATTACAGCGTTCATGTTACACACTAATGTGCAACACTGCTTTCTGGAGCTGCTGGAAATTCACTTAATATTAGTACTGTAAACTTCTGTAACATGGACCCTGCGATGTTAAATGCCCAGCTCTGTCAGTGGGGTTGGAAATAATTTGGCCGATTATGAAGTTATGCTGACAACATGAACGCGCAACAGAGACTCTATTGTGTTGCTCTGCGCGTCCGTGCTCGCAAATGTCAGGAAATTGCGGAGTGGACTTTCAGAAGAGAGCGGAATGGGACTTAAGTTCATAAATGAAGACATGTGGAACATTCTTTAAAATCGCTTAATGGCAAAATAAACTTTGGTTTAAAGACAAAAACGAGGTGCAAGCTTAGCTTACAGTAAAGAAAATACTTGAGTTGAACTTGAGAGCAACTCCTCTGGTACCAACATTCACGTTTCCCATTTTAAAGAAAAATAACATCTTATTTCACACAAAATGTGACTATGCATCGTGAATAAACATCTAAAACCTATGCGTGAAAAGGAAAAAAAAATAGCTTTTTATGAATAAAGTATGCAATAAACTATGGAAATAAAGTATCTATAAAAATATAAGAGTTTTTTTTTTCGTTTAACAAAACATTGATATCATCTTATTTGTTTGCCTAGTAGTTAAGACTCGGAAAGCAAGTCAATCAGAATTGGTGAGGTAGTTCCCTCTGAAGTCACTTTTAAATGGTAAAATACTGAATAGACATCACTAATTCTTTTTCTTTTTTTTCCCCGGTAATTATTTACAATACAGCAAATCTATGCTCCTTACTTCATTAAAATTGAATTCCTTTGGTAAACATAACTGTCAGAAATGTGCAGTCCTGCAAGTGTCAAATTGTACATTCACAATATGTTTGCATCCTTTTTTTTTCTTGATGTTTTGGGGGGTTATTCTTGTACATAATGCAAAAAGGGGCAAATGCACAAAACATTGATATCATCTTATTTGTTTGCCTAGTAGTTAAGACTCGGAAAGCAAGTCAATCAGAACAGTCATCTGAAAGAAAATGTTCAGTGCAATACATGTAAGTATAGGAGTCTTTTAGAAGATTTTCACTCGCTTACCACCCACAGCTCTGCCTCCCTTCAGCACTCTCTGGGCAGGCTGGTCTTTGGAGAGAGGGCAGTATTTTATTGTATGCGCGTTGTCCCCGTTGGCACTGCATAGGGGGCACGTGTACGCCCGCAGAATCGGGCACACCACCCTCCCATCCGGGGTTTTCAGGACGTGCGAGCCGTACACCTCCTCCGGCGCGCCGTTATTCCGACAGAAGACGCAGATCTTGGGTTCCTGCTTATTGCGCGCGGCCGGTTTCCTCATCTTTCTCTCCACGCCGAACAGATCGAATCCTGCGAAGCTCCCTCCGATGCCCATCTCCCGCTCCTGGGAGGAGGACAGCAGCCCTCTCGTGCCTTGGTTCTGGTTCTGGAAGGGGCTCAGGATGGAGAAGCGCTCTTTCAGGTCCAGGATGGAGACGGAGGCGGGTGGGGGGCAGCAGCAGGATTCCAGGTGTCCTCCGCTGTCGCCGTCGCCCGCGGCCGCGATTACGCACGGGCACGGAGGGCTGTCGTCCAAGCCCAGAGTGGCTTTCAGGGACTCCGTGATGGAGTTTGGACTCTGGGGGACGCTGTGCTTGTTGTTCTTGGTGACCAGCGTGGAGAGGCCGAGATAGTCATTCCAAAAATTGAAGGTGTAATCGTAGGAGGTGCGCGCGCTCAAGTAGTTGTGGTTCAAAAAATCCATGTCTTCTTCGCTCAACCAAGATGCTTCTCTCGGAGGAAAACAAACAAATGGGAACAGTTTATATTCCGTCAGGTTGCTTTCTGTCTGCTCTCCGGGCTCGTAACTGTGCTCAAGTCCAGTGCGTTTCTTGGATATGTGCGTCTGAAGAACAGTCGTCTGGTTATAAGGCTCCAGGAGAGGCAGGAGGATGGGCGGGGCTCTTTTTCAAACCAAGTTTCTGAGCAGCAGATCCACAGCGTGTTTTCTTCCTGCACGACCAGCGATTGTTCACTGCAGTGGAATGACACCAGGCACTGCTCTGTGATGGCAAAATAGACCAAAAAGAGCTCGTTACTGAGAGATTACGCTTTATAAATAAATGTATATCACATATTTTCCCTTTCTTTCCCAATTTTAAGGGTCAATGACACAAGAATCCTGTCCAATATGATTTTTATAACTCAAAACACGTTTGTTTTCGAATTTGAAGAACTTACAAGTTCTTGATATTTAGAAAAGTAATCTTTGTATACATGCTGGTTTCATGCACTTTCAACAATGACTCCAAAAACGTTAAATAAATATTAAAATATTGCATAAATAACTTAATACTATTGACACATTGAGTTGGGGAAAATGGTTTTGCATATTATTTTATTAAGAAAATATTTCAAAATTAAGCATTTTTTAATTATTATTTTCCTTTTTTTTTACATGCCAATAAAGCTACTTTATTCTTAAACGTAAAAGTGTTTCAAAGCATGGCTGCATAATGTGAGCAGATTCAGCTAGTTCAACTATCAAATGCTCCACTAGCAAAATATGAAGGGAAAATGACCATTGCAGTCTATTCACAGTCTAGATGATACATTATTACATTGGATTTCCTCTAGCCCCAGTGTCATCTCACAGTCACAGTAGCTTCTTTCTTTGGTGTGAGATATTTGGCTTTGTGTGCACTGCCTAGGCTTTACAGTGCAGCTGCAGTTTGTATGTGTTCAGGATTATGTGACGTGATCAGATTACACATGTGTCATTAGAAACAGAGGGTCGTGGGCGCACATGGGCTCTTTGTTCTTTGAAATCATGCCATGCGCGCACCTGCAGGCCAGAGACATGGAGTTGATTTTAAAGTTGATTAGCATTTGACGTTTCATTTTTTTTTGTTCAATTTGAATGATATTAACATGTTACTGAATGATATTATCATGTTCTTTTTTTTCTGTAAAGCTGCTTTGAAACTATGTATTGTGAAAAGCGCTACACAAATAAACTCAAACTCGAAGGTAAATATACAACTGTTCATTGTTAATTCATCAGGTCCATTGAATAGTAATATTAACATATGTCACTTTTTATTTTTAACAATGCATTAGTAAACTGTGTAATTACAATTAAGAATAATAGATGACTTAGAAGGTTTTTTTTTATTTTTGGTTCATGTTAACTAATGTAGTTGCTAATGTCAACAAATTAACTTACTGTAAAGTATTACCATAATTGATATTTTTACTTTAAATTATTTTAATATGTTTTGAGACATTAGTCCACCCAAAAATGGCCCAACCTCATTACGTTCCAAACCTATATGATTTTTTTTTTCTTGTGTGGATGACAAAAGAAGATATTTTGAAGAATGTTGGTAGCTAAACATTTTGGTTCCTATTGACTCCATTATGTGGACAAAAATAAAATAAAAAAATAAAAACAATAATAATAATAATAATAATAATAATAATAATAAATAAGTAAATAAATACAAATGGGAACCCTATACTGTTTGATTATGAACATTCTTCAAAATATCTTCTTTTAGTTCAGCATAGGATTAAAAAGCATACAGGTGAGTAACTGATGACAGAATTTTAATTTCATCATTTAAGGTTATCAACTGAATGTCTTTTTATAATCAGTTTTCATAAGATTAGTAGTCGTTATAAATTATTAACCTGATACTCTAATGTTAAGTATGGTTCCTTGAGATGTTTAAAGATATGGGGACCTGCAGTACATCCAATGCAATTAGACTGAGATTCAGGATTATGCGTCTTTTAGAACTAAAAGGCTGCAGCTCAGATGCCAGTAAATTGGCTCGGAGCCTGCAGGTCTTTTATGCTCCTCCTGCTGTGGCCTTGACTCTGTGTGAAAAGCTGCGATGGTGGAGGGTCATTATTCGACAGGCTCTTGGCTCAATGAGCTGTCCTGGATCTGACTCGCTCCAAAACCCACACTGGCCAGAAAGACATGTAATGAGCGTCTCGCCAAATTAACTCATCTTTGGGTAAACAAAAGGCTAATTTGCATTTTATGTATTTTGTTCAAGACCCCATGATTTGGGGACACAGGTGCACAGCAGCTGATTTCTGCACCCCGCGCACATAAATAATAGCCTAGAGTGTCTGTCACAGAACATCGCTGTAATAAATTAAGTGTGGTTATATTAAATGATTGATTTAGAGCTTGCCTACAAGAGATAAGAAATTATGTTCACAGCTCACGTACTCCTGCAATTAGGTTGAAACTTACTTTAAGGCAAGAAAGCTGATACACGCAGTAGCTCAGTCTCACCACCGGGGGTCTGTGTGAGCTCAGAGGAGCGTCTAATAGGCATGACGTCATTAGGTATTCCGGAGTGCTGCAGCTTGTATAACAAGATCTAAGAACAATACAGTAAACACACTTACACTGTGGCCCTGCCAGAAAGAGAGCACATGGCACAGCTGTGTATTGAAGCATTCACTGAGGAAAGTATCCAGGTCATTCCTACAGTGCGGTATGTTTTCATGTCCTCCTCTTTGTTATTGAGGTACAGGTTCATTTTACTGTACATTTACATTACATTTATGCATTTGGGAACCACTTTGTCCAAGAGGAATAAAAGCAATTCGACAAAGTGCAAACAATATTCGTAATATACAATGTAAGGTTTATTAGACAACTAGATTAGGTAGCAAGCTGTTTTATTTTATTTATTTATTTTTTATGGAAAGCACATTTGTTGATTTTCTTTTATCACAGTATCACAATTAAAAGCAAAATTAAAGTTTATGACATCATTCTTAATGAAATTACAGGTTTTCACATTAGAAAAAAATGTTATTTTACTAAGAATGATGTCATAAACTTTGCTTTTGCTTTTATTCCTTTATTACAAAATGGGTATAAGGTGTATAAACTGAATATATTATTGATTAAAAAAAGGAAAAACAAAGAAATACACAACATATTAATAAATTGCCATGTTAGAAGCTAGTGCCATTAGTTAAAAATATATACTTAATGTATAACTACATTTTGGGAGAAATTAAACCCCAAAATTAGGTTATTGATGAGAGAAATGTGTAATATTTCTTAATAAATTACCAGTATTTGGTTGGCAAACAACAGCACAAGCATCCATAGAAACATTGGCAAACAATTTGATGATATTTTGTGATGTTTGTGGTATTAATTGGTTTATAATATTCCATCCTGTTTGGAATGTTTTATCCATACAATTACAGAAATCAGTATTCAAAAGACATTTCAAAATGTATTACCATGCTTTAAATAATCAGTTCTAAAAGTCTGTTATACCCTTTTATGGAACTCATCCTTAAATTACACAAGCATATACATTTTTTAAAGGTTTAAAATTGAGTTCCAATTGTACTGCATAACAGGAATGACCCATTTATGATATCAAAGCATACAGTAATTATCACTCATGATTGTTAGATGACAACACTCTCATTTGTCAGGGGTGACTCATCACACAGCTAACTGCATTTGAGGTTGCTGCATTATTTCTGTTTGATTTGTTTGATGACTCAGGGTCGTCTAATTGAGGCTTTTAGAGAATAAACATTATAACAATCCTCTAAGTAATAAAGTACGAATCTATGTAACGACAAAGACCATTAGTATTCCCTGCAGGGAGGAATGCAAGAGTAAGGTTTCTATCGATAGCAGTGTTTCCTGCCACAGCGTGGGCAGAGGCCACACTCAACCATGCTGTAGTACAAAAGGCCTTCCTCTATTCTGATTAATTATATTCCTTCAGGAATGTGGACACTGGGTTCCTCCAGCACAGCTACCATCACCAGCCACTGTACGTCTAATTAAAAGTGGAGGAGAGCTCTGTGAACCTCTGCCAGCGCTGAGGATTAAGTCTATTTAAAGAGGAAATTCAATAGAATGCTGTACCTTGCTGCTTATCCGAGCGGAAAGTGGTGAAGAAGATGTGCTTTGTGTAAATTTGCACTCGGCTTAGTGGCTTTTCTTTCTTATTGAGCACTACATTGTCTGTACTTTGACCCCTTTGGTACTGGTTGAGATTTTGGGCTGTGTCATATGCAGTGGGCAACAGGTGCAGAGCCCAGTTTCAAAATGACCTTTTAGGTGTTTGCACACTTGCTGACTTCAGAGTTGCATGCTGTTTGTGAAGAGATCAAAATAAACACTCTGATAGGGGTTATGTCTGCCACATACACACTGTAAAGTTTCAGGAGTGAATCCTCTAAATTACAGTTTTGTGTGTGTACGGAACAGAACTCACTAGTAATGGCGATGATTGACACCATGGTAACCATAGCGACATTTTGTAATGTTGTTATTGTATTCTGGATGGTCGTTAGGACGTTGTCATTGTGTTCTGGATGGTTGCTAGGACATTGTTTGGTGGTTGCCAGAGTTTTTATGGGGTGCTTTCTAGAACACTGCTAGGTGGTTGCTAGGGTGTTTGGGTGGTTTCCAGGGTATTCTGGGTGGCGGCTGGGGCATTGCTATGTGGTTGCTAATTTGTTTGGGTGATTGCTAGGATATTGCTAGGTGGTTGCTAGGATGTTGAAGGGATGATTGCTTGGGTATGACATTATACAGTTGCTAGGGTATTCTGGGTGGTTGCTAAGAATTTGCCAGGTTGTTGCCAGGGTGTTTTGGGTGGTTTCTATGGCATTGCTAGGCAGTTGCTAAGGTGTTCTTGATGGTTACTAGGGCATTGATAGGTGGTTTCTAGGGTGTTTTGGGTGGATGCTAAGATATTGCTATAGTTTTTTTCATTTTTTATTGTCTGAAAGTGAAAAATTATAAGTGATCCTATAGAAAGTATGATATTTGACTAATGACCGTGCTGAATGTGTGAAGTGACGTCGCCACTCAAGATTGATCACTTGTCTGTTGTCTGGCTTCTAGTTTCTCTTTGTAGCTGGTCAAGCGCGCTTTTT